TAGGTATTTTTGAAACAAAAATTTCTATTTAGGTAAAAAAATTTTCCATAATTTCATTTTGCTATAACTAACTCATACAGAACTCTCCTGGTTCACTGTATAAGATATTTTCTCATTATTTTAATGACACCTCTGCAGTTTGTATTAAGAGTACAACTTCAAGGCAGGCTGGTTAGCTCACTTGGGAGATCAGGGTGCTGATAACAGCAAGGTCAAGGGTTCAGATCCCTGTACTGGCCAGCTGCCAAAAAAGAGTATAACTTCACATTTATAGACCACTGTCCATTCATTCATTAGTTCATATATCCCTAAAAAGGTGTTATAAAAAGAATATTTCATTTTTGAGATAAGGAAATTATGATCCAGAATGTTTTTATATATCCTACTATTCACAGTTACATGTGGAATTCCTCTGTTATTCAATATATGTTCTTGTTATTCAAATTATGTAATATTTGCAGCCTTACTTCTGGAGACTGGCTCATAGCAATCATCTAGCAGAGCCTTGGACTAGGAAGTGACACACAGCAAGTACTTTTCATCACAGTCTTACCTAGTTTATTCTTGAACTCCCATATCTTACAGAAAAAGCAATGAGTCTTTTGTAAACCACTCCCAAGAGTGTGATGGTGAGCACCATTATTCCACACACAAGGCTGAATGCCCATCGTGGTCCCCAGTAAGTATACACTTGGCTAATGAAAACAGGCCCGAGAATCCGTGCTCCACTTCCAGAAGCTGTTAACCAGCCCATGTATACACCCTGTGGGTGGTGAAGTGGGGTAAAAGCAGAATTGATATTCAGGGTTAGTTATTTAAAAATAAAGATAATGCTACTACCAAACTAAGGCAAACTCATAAAAATCACTTTCTCCATCTTTTACTTTTAAATTAAATGTAAAACGCCTCTCCATAAATATAAATAATGAACAATAAACTTATTTGATATTATACTCAGTTTAAGAAAAATAAAAGGAGTGTAAAAAGACAATGTCTACAGAAGCCCTGAAAACAATATAATTTATTAATATACCTTTTAAAGCTAACATTTATTTTGTACCTGTTATGTGCTAGACACTGAGGTGGGTGATTTACATAAACCATTTCTAATGTTCATAGGTTTCGACAAGAGGTGTTATCCCTGTTTAACAAATGTGGAAGCTGCAACTCAGAAAGTTTAAATAACCTGTCTAAGAGATTTGAAGTCATGTTTGGTTGACTCCACTATACCACTTTAAACTGTACCACAATGCCACTCCTACAACTACTGTATCCAAGTCTACCCAAGAATGTTCAGTGCAGCATTACTTTTAATAGCCCCAAATTGAAAACAACCTAAATGTCAATGGTGAATTAAATGCATACATTATAGTATATTTAATGAGTAGAATGCTAAGCAGCTGTTTAAAATAA